TTGTGTCCACCTTGCGGAGTCTGATGCATTTTTATCTCGTGGGCCACATACCTAACTGTAATCAAGATCCCCATTTCGTCTCGCCGTAACGCATATATGCACTTTTGTATGCTGCTGTAAGCATTTATTCACGCTGTGTACACGCTACGAAGCCTCATTTAAACGGCACTTCAGGACCTGGGTAGACTAAGACTCTGTAAGTATCTGGATGGTCAAAGAGGCTGAAAACCTTAAGGCTTAGCTCACGCACCGGTTTACTGGAGCTTTATCTCCCTTCGCCTTTGTCAATTTACTCGGCCACCATGCAGTTCCGTAGACCCACTGTTACTTGCATTACCTACATCTCGTACAGCACCGTCCCATATCCCGCTGGGGCTGGTGTGATATCTGGCCATCCAGAATTCGAAGTTTACGCATCGTTAAAATCATCCCGCATCAAGGCATCCCGTTGAAGGGTCTTCAGGTCTTTTAGCCAGGGAACATGGTGGTTGAGAGTTAAGAGGGGCAAAAGATGAGCGAGCTGAGATGGTCGTTGAATTTATAATCGTCTTTGTGCCTAGTGCTTCTCAGTCCCAGGCTAATCCTCCTCTGTCAATGCTCCGGGCAACCAACCTGCGTCACCGAGCATTAAACATGATTAGGCGCTGAAGACGCGTTGCAATGTAACGGTCACAATGCGCGCGGGTGGTCACACTCATGGCTCAGCCAGCGTGCACGTGAGGCGTGACGGCAATAAATGGTCCCGCTCGACCTTCGTTGCAGCGTCGTCTGCTGTCCTCTTCAAAATTGCCTTCTTTTACTTCTAACTTCAACCTTTGCTTTGTCGACATCCTTCAGCACTCTCTTAAACCTAGAACGGCCTGAATCTAGAAGCTCGGTCGGCAAGAAACACAAGAACCACGAAATGTCTTCATCTTCAGTCCTCGACCGCCTTAAGCCACAACGCGCAGAGGCTCTTGCGCGTATACGGACCAATGGAGTTGGGTTCTTCGCTTTGCTCATTACTACGAATCTCTTGCCACTACCGGGACCATGGGAGGCAATCTGGCAGGTGTGGCAAAGCTATAACTACAGGCTCTCTGGGAGGGAAGAGGTCACGCTGTGGTGGTTATTATGTTTTGCTGGTGAGTGCTTTATTTCTAAAGCGACATATAATAGACTTAATGGGCTCATGTGTTCCTTGTTTCCATTCCCTCTCTTGAACGGGTCCATCCTGGATCGGATGGAAATAGAGCTCATTATAATCGCCACGTTGGCTTTCAATATTCTACAAGGAATATACGCGTTGCAGTTCCCTCCTAAAGCGTTACTGCCACTTACACCGGCCACACCACGACCAAATCCTCTCGGCATGGATGCGAAGTCGCCGAAAACCACAGGAGGGTTGAGCCATTCGCAACGAAAGTTAATTGCTTCTACGCCTACTGTACGTCATACGCATCCAGTAATTTTTGCAATTTGCTGATACGATATATCCTTCTCCGTGTTTCTGCTTTTAATTCCAAACATTCGCCTCTCAATTACTCGCCACTTTATGAAAATTAGACCGTCCCACAGCCCCAAAAGCCGTTTTCTTCAAGCTTCTACCCATCGACCCCTGTATCATCGCCCTCGCGAATCCTAAATTACTCCACATTATCGCAAGCAGACACCTCCATCAACTCGTCGATTTCATCGTTACAGAATTCACCTTCACCAGCTGGCGGCGTGTTGAGCGCGACGTTACTCGGAATGAGCATAGGAGGGTCGCCTTCATTAGCGGCGTATAGGGGAAAGCACAAGAGTGGTGTTGGGCGTGAGTACCATGCTCTTTTCATAATTTCGAATTCTCAATCCAAACTTTTGTTATGTTCCATGGACACTAATATTCACTTTGTAGGTGCATTTGACGGGGAACTGTTAACTCGGTTGTCATACAGTGCAGCAGAAGACGAAGATGATTAGAACATGCAATATGTATTAATCAAACTACAAATATACCGCTATCTGTGCATGATTTTTTTTTCTGTCTCAAGTTTAAAGTTGGCCTTGGAACTGCAACTATGCCGGGTGCAGTTGACTGCGTAGATCACTTAGTCGCGCAGTTGATGTCATCGATAGCACACGCAGCCACATCTATAACCTCTCCCCCACCAACGACTTCTGCACTAACCGACTCTCTACCAGTTGCTCTCATCGTCATCTCAACGAGCTCGATAGCAATGTCCAAGTTTGAGTCGCTGCCTGTTGAGGTGATCATTGACAATATCCTCCCCTTTTTACCAGTTTCAGCAGTCGCGAATCTCTCGGCGACGAACAAGTTCTTCTACCTCGTCACTTCAGACGAGACATTCTGGAGACGGAGACTCTTGGTTGACTACAACTTTTCCGGAAACGATACGGCCAGGACGACAGGATGGAAGTTTATCTACAGGAGGCTGGCTAACCCGAAGGTCTATGTGTGGGGGTACGTACGATGAGTCTCTGCGCATGTCTAGTTGTTCAAATGGTTATCGAAGTGAGAATTCGAAGCGGCGACTTGGTTTTAGGCCTCGGGATCTGCCCCAGACGTCTGTGTACGAGGGTGTGCCATACCCCGTTCAATTGCACCTTCCCCATGGGGTAAAAGTGGTTAGCTTGTGCGCTGGTGGGATGTGAGTAAAATCTTACTATGTTCTTGTTGTCTAACATTTACAATACTTGCAGGTCGTTCCATGCCCTCGATTCTCAAGGTCGGATATGGGTCTGGGGTAATGACGAATTTTTGATAGCTCTCGCATGCTACTGATCAAGCGAGTGTTCGAATACAGGCACTTTGGACGGCACCGGCTTTTTCGTGCATGCAGAGAATTTCTCTGACAGATACAAGCCTGCAGAGGCACCAACCCTGCTTGAGCTTCCTTTCTCAATTCGTGCGATCAGGTAAATGTCACAGACTACCCCCGAAATGCATTGTTTCTAACCGGTATCATGGTATTTGGTAGCTGCGGACGTTTGCATGCGGCAGCCCTTACAACCTCTTCCCAAGTACTCAATTTTCCTTCCTGGGGACGCCCATTCGTACTGCATTCGCGGTACTTCACCTCTTCGTTATCGTATCTTTCTCCCTCGGCGGATATCCATTCCTCATTTACTAACCCCACGGCATCCATAATCCATGCGCACAGTCCTCCATCTGTGCCTATTCAAGTCGAATGTGGGTGGGGATTTACTGCTGTCCTTACGTCTTCCGGAAATGTCTTCGTGTACTGGCCACGGGAGAACGGTCGCGACAGACTCGGACGCCTCATCTACAAGATGAATCGCAAATGGGACGAGGAGAGCGTCGGTATGGCAAAACTTGAAGGTGTTCATGGTGACCATGAAGATCCACTGAGGACGAAGTGTCACGTATGGAACGTCGATGCGGAGACCCCAAATGACTCGTATCGGGACGACGAGGGTCACGAGATTCAAGAGGAAGGAGTGATTATGGTGAAGCTGCCGGATTTGGAAGGGTATGATTTGCCGAAACTTACGAACATGAAAGGGCAAAGCGGGGAAAGTGACACAGACGAGCCAGTAAAAATTGTGAAAATTGCAGGATTGGATAACACAATAGTTGGACTGACAAATAACGGTCATGTCGTAATGATCAGGGGGTTGGAGGGTCAGGAGACTTCACAGTTGGCTGGAAATAGGTGGACTTATGTGAGTTAAACTTCTGCTCTTTGCCGACCAATACGTCTGAGTGGTGCTGATATATATGCTATAGCTGCCATACTTTAGCGAAGTAGAGAAGGTACGCGAGGACGATGTTTGGACGGAGGGGAGTAATGGTTTGCAACCACCGAAGGAGATGAAGATATCTCATGTACGTCCAATCTACTCTTGGTCAGTTTTTTTTTTTCATTGATGTCATCAACGTCTCTTGAATATTGCAGATTTCGGGTAACTACAAAACATTTACAGCCTACTCGCCACACCCGGGAGTCGTTCTAATGGGCAACATTGACGACGATCCTTCTATCAATCATCCTAATATCAGCAACTTACTCCTCCATGTCAGACCATTCAAACCAACTGTACTACCGGACCTTCAAGCTCCGCACAACAACATTATCTCTGTCGTCCTCGGAGATTACCACTTCGGTGCACTCACCTCGTCCGGCAAGCTTCTCACGTGGGGCGGATTTTCCAAAGGTGCACTTGGACTTGGAGACCCGAATGATCTTGACGTGGGCGTGCCTGGTGGGTTTAGAAATCAAGAAGAGAAAGACGAATCAATCAGAAATACAAGTCTGAGGAGGAATGGACTAGAGCCTGACAGGACGGACGTTCCTGGAGAAGTCAGGTTTGACTGGGAGGATAAGAAGCGAGGAAGAGAGGGGAAGGAAAGGTATTGCTTCGGTGCAACAGCTGCTGGGTGGCATATGGGTGCGCTGGTTATTGATCTTTCGGTACGTTGGATTTTTTTTTCTCCAGTTAACTACGGTAAGGACGCTTATACTCTGATCAACTAAAAATTTTCTGGTATGGTAGCCCGATGGGGATGCCTCCGATATAGAGGAACACCCAGAGGCAAGGATTCCTGGGGCATTTCCCACACAAAATCCTCCGACTAGTCACGACAACGATGTACCTAGTTTGGGGAGAGGCATCAATCCTTTCAGAATCGGATTTGCTGGACGAGGAGGTCATGGAGGTCCGCCGAGGACGTATCGTCCTCTAGGGTGAAGAATATGTCCAAGCAAACTAGCATCTCGGTGCAGTTGTGGTACGGTTTTATAAATAACATAGGATTGAGCTTGCCCTTGTAGTTTGTTGAATACACGCAGTGCTCAATCAATAGATACATAACATTGACGAGATGGTTTATACTGTAGAGTACACATCCTTACTGTACACATCCTTTCAAAGCACAGGAATACAATGTGCTTCCTTCGACCAGAAAAAATAATACTGTTTGGTTTTGATTCTTTTGAAGGGGATTTCGTAGCTAAAGCAGAAAAGAGGGAAAAATAACAAACTTTCTAGTTCGCGGGCCTGGCCGGGAATTGAACCCGGGACCTCCTCCAAATTAGGCAATTAAGCCCTAAGAAGGAATCATACTACTAGACCACCAGGCCATATATTGTTGTTGAGTTTTATGTTTATATATCCATTTAAAATTAATATAGGCATTTCTGGTGAGCACGCGCCACTTGTGCACAAGATCATCATCTAGTGACTGTGACCTCGAAGCCTGCAACCACTACTCATCTTGAGGTGCCCACTCGCACCTCGCAAGAGGCGTCCGCAAACATGGCAACAGCCTCACAAGCCGACCCTTTGGACCTCATGTTCGCTGGGCTCAAGAGCAAAAGCGCGGAGACAAGACTAGCCAGCGCCCTCGAGTTGCAGCAATATGTGTGTATAACCCTCCGTGTCGTAGTACTTTGTATAATTGTACCAACGATTTTGAACATGATACAGGTATCTAATACCGTACCAGAGGTGGCGTCGGATGCTGCAGCAAAGCAATGGGACGACAATATCAACAGGAGACTATTCGATCTGGTACACAGTCAAGCAACCTACGAGAAACTAGGTGGCATTTTGGCGATTGGTGCGTCTGCGTTCTGAATCCTTGTTCAAGCCATTAACTTATTATGTGGCGCGTCGTCCACCTTCAAATTATTTGTACATGGAACGCTTACTTGCAGATTATCTGCTTAATGCGGATGGCGAGGGAAATACGGAATCCAAACGAAACTTGTTCCGGTTCTTCAACTATGCGAAGTCTTTGCTTCCAAATCCTGACATAAATGTCATGCTTGCTGCATCGAAGACTCTCGGTAAAATCTCTTATATTGGCGGGGCTGCTTTCGGGGAGCGCTTCATGGACTACGAGGTACAGGCTGCAATCGAACTCCTCCAACCTTCTGGGTCAGGCTCTTCTTCGACCTTCTCCTCCTCCTCCTCGTCATCTGCCTCCGACACCTCTCGCTATGCTGGCGTACTTATCCTGAAAGAGCTAGCGCGCAACAACCCAATATACTTTCACAGTCATATCGGACTCGTCTTTGACAAGATCCTAATACCTATCAGAGACCCGCGCGTCATTGTACGAGAAAGCGCCGCAGAACTGCTTGCGGCTTGTTTGGCAATCGTGACACAGAGAGAGAGACAGCCAAGGAATAATCCGTATCTCTTGAGGATACTGTCAGATGCGCAGAATGGTCTCAAAATGGCCCAACCAGAAATCATACACGGTAGTCTGCTCACGTACCGCGAGTTGCTTCTCCATGGTGGAATGGTGCGTGAAATAACTTTTCACCCCATCATTTTGATTGACTCAACGAATTATCGTATTCTTGTACTTTTCATTCAGTTTATGAGGGATACTTTCCTCGACGCTGCTGAGCAGATCCTCAACTACAAGACGCACCGAGATGCACATGTTCGAAAGATGGTCATCACACTCATCCCTACTCTCGCTGCTTATGACACTCAAACATTCGCCGAACATCATCTCCACAAAGCAATGGCACACCTTTTGAGTATGTTAGAGAAGCCAGTAGAGCGAAGCTTCGGTGAGTGACTGCTCAGCGCCTCCCGGAAGTCTACAATGATCTCATCAGTATTATGGTTACAACAGCATTTATCGCTATTGGACATGTTGCCACTGCGGTAGGAAGCGAAATGAAGCCGTTCTTAGATGCTATTATGTCGCATATCAAGCAAGGGCTTCAGATGCATGGGTGAGACCAGCCTTACACTGCGGAGATCTATGCACTAATCGAAGATTCAGGAAGAAGAATGCGCCCTCTGAAGAACCAATCTTTCAATGCATTGGCATGCTGGCGTCTGCAGTAGGACCGAATTTGACGAAGCTCCTGCATGATCAGCTGAAGTTGATGTTCGACTGCGAGCTAAGCGAGCCACTACATCATGCCCTCGTCGCGATTGCGAAACATATACCTCCACTTTTGAGGACTATTCAAGGTATGCGAGTTTGTATCTTTAGGACGGTGATTAGCTAAAACTGACGCGTCCAGAGCGTCTCTTGGATATGCTCTCGACGATTTTAAGCGGGAAAAGCTACAAACCACTTGGTGCTCCGCCTACGGCTCTCCTGAGAACTGAAACTTCTGGAAATGCCATTGCCATGGCCAGGGACCACAGCGCCACAGAGGCAAGTAAAAAAGCAGAATCATTCTATTGGTTGACTAAGGGATACTGACGTAACTATGACTGGTGCTACATTAGGGTGCAGCTACAGCGTATAGGCCCGAGACCATCACCCTGGCCCTGACAATTTTGGGTTCATTTGATTTCAGCGGTGACAATGTTTCTTTCCAGTGACAATACTTTCTTCTCTGATATGCAAATATAGGACACGTCTTGAACGAGTTTGTCAGGGATAATGCGTTACCCTATCTCGAAGATGACAACCCTCAGATTCGATGTGCAGCCGCCCTGACATGCTGCAACTTGTTCATCAAAGATCCGATATGCTACCAAGCAAGCAACCACTCGATCGAGCTCGTTGGGGATGTAATTGACAAGCTCCTCACCGTTGGTATAGCTGATCCAGGTGTGTCGTACGCAAATATGAATTCGTAAGCACTCTCTGACGCTTGGGTATTAGATCCAAGCATTCGTCATGCAGTTCTCTCTTCCTTGCACGAACGGTTCGATAAGCATCTAGCGCAGGCCGAAAACGTTCGATCGCTCTTTATTGCACTGAATGACGAAGTCTTCGAGAACCGTTTGGCCGCTGTATCCCTCATTGGTCGGCTTGCTGGACATAACCCCGCCTATGTCATGCCCAATTTGAGGAAGACCCTGATTCAGCTTTTGACAGAACTGGAATACAGCAGCGTCATGTGCGCGTCGTATTTTTTCATTTCATGCAAAGATAATTAATGCACGATACAGGCGCAACCGTGAAGAGTGTACAAGATTGCTTACCAGGCTCGTCAGCGCGACACAGCGGCTTATCAAGCCTTATGCGATTCCGATCCTACGAGTTCTTTTGCAGAAGGCGTCTGACAGTAACGCTACTGTAGCAGCTAACGTGATCATGTGTCTGGGCGAGCTCGCATCCGTCGGTGGGGAAGATGTATTGCCGCATGTACCCGATCTCATGGAGGTGATCATCGCTCGACTCTCTGATCCCGCAGTCGTCAAACGGGATGCCGCACTTCACACTCTCGGGCAAGTCTGCTCTAGCACTGGATATGTCATCACTCCCCTGGTGGATTATCCGCAGCTCCTTCCGGTTCTGAGCAGTATCCTTCGGACCGAGACAAGTCAGAGCGTTCGGAGGGAAGTCATCAAGGTGCTTGGTATTCTGGGGGCCCTGGACCCGTACAGGAGGAAGGTAAGTTGATATTGTAGACGTCACGCTCACTGGCAGAATGCTGAAAATTGGACGTGATGAATACTTACTCTGCATCGCTTCAGAGCAAACCAGAGCAAGAAGCAGCAAACGAGCTAGCAAATGCTGCTTTGGCAAACACAATTGCTTCGCGTACTCTGTCTGGCCCAGGATCATCGCCAGATGACTATTACCAGACTGTAGCTATCAACGCGTTGCTCAGTATTCTACGCGATCAGTCTCAGACGGGTCAGCACCACAAGGTCATCGAGGCTATCATGTCCATCTTCAAGACACAGGGTCTGAAGTGTGTGGCATTTTTGCCCCAAGTGCGTCATGTTCCACTGTCTTTCTCCGCGTACGGCTAATACTCCTTCACTGGGAAGATCGTGCCAGCCTTCACAGAAGTCGCACGAACATCGGCCGCCAGAATTCAAGTGTTCCATCTCGAACAGCTTGCTATTCTCGTGGGCATCATCAAGCAGCATGTTCGAAATCACATGAACGACATCTTTCAACTGGTTACGGATTTGTGGGATAACGTTTCCCTGCAACTTCCTCTTGTCTCGCTGGTTGAGTCGCTGGGTAAGGCTCTCGACGCGGAATTCAAGCCATTCCTTCCCATGATTTTGCCCCATCTCCTGAAGGTGTTCGACGGAGAACTCAACGATAAAACCGTGAGCACGCAAATGAAGATATTCGACGCGTTTCTTACCTTCGGTGCGAATATCGAAGAGTATCTGCAGCTCGTGATCCCTATTATCGTCAGAACCTACGAGAAGCCTGATGCTACGATCCAACTTCGAAGGAGTGCTGCCCTGACCATCGAAGGCCTGACACGACGGGTCAATTTCTCGGACCATGCATCACGGATTATCTTGTCTTTAACCCGCGTGCTGAGCAGCCAGTCTCATGAATTGAAGATGGCTGTTATGGATACACTCTCTGCTCTGGTGATCCAGCTTGGGTCAGATTTCGCAGTATTCATTCCCACTATCGAAAAGGTGAGAAGCACATAATTGTTCCCAACGACGTCTCTTTGACGCGAGAAACTATTTCTGCAGGCACTACGTAAGAACCGCGTTTCGCACACGAAGTATGACGGCCTTATATTGAAGCTACTCAACGGAGAAAGGCTACCGAGGGACTCAACAGCTCTGGATCTTTTGTGAGTTGTATCTAGTTTCTCAGAATTACTATAATTCATCATTGCTTAGGTCCACTGAAGGTACAAAAGCTACGGAGTATTCCGCACCCGCAGAAGCAACAAAGATGGTGGTTAACCAGCAGCACTTAAAGCAAGCCTGGGATGTAACCCAAGTTGCAACTCGAGAAGACTGGGAGGAGTGGATGCAGCGACTTTCGGTAGAGTTCATGAAGGAATCACCGTCTCACGCGCTCCGTGCTTGCATGAGTTTGGTTGACGTTCACACTCCTCTTGCACGAGAACTGTTTAATGCCGCTTTCCTTTCCTGCTGGACAGAGCTATATGACCAGTATCAAGTTCGTAATATTCAGTGACTGGCTTGGACTGCTTTTAGCTCACAATGCTTCTTAGGAGGATCTAGTCCGCTCTATCGAACACGCCCTGACGTCTCAATTTGCTCCTTCAGATCTAATTCACAGGTTGCTGAACCTAGCCGAATTCATGGAACACGAGGAAAAGACTCTGCCTATTGAGAACAGTACTTTGGGAGAAGTTTCAAAGAAGTTTCATGCGTATGCCAAAGCCCTCCACTACAAGGAACTCGAATTTTTCACCGA